TCCGCCAAACGCCGATCAAGCGTTTGCCACTGTTAACCCCGAGTTACGTCCAACCGTTGTTGAACTCCCACCACCACCTGCGACAACTAATTCCTGGCAAACAAGCGCCTCCGTCGTCGACGTAGTCGCGCAACGACACAAAAATAATGTCGACTTCCTCGCAGCTATTCGAAATAGCTACATGAACGACTCATTCCTCTCATCGATCGTAAAGAATCCTCGCCATTATAAAAACTTCGCGTTTGAAGACGGCCTCCTCTACTTAGTCGAGGGAGGTAGACGACTACTATGCATACCTGACGCGGTTGCTGGAGGAGTTCGAGCTAAGGAATTGGTGATAGATGAAGGTCACTCTCTTCTAGCTCATCTGGGGCCAGATAAGACGCTTGCTTACTTACGCGAGTTCGTTTGGTGGAAATACCTTTCTAGAGACGTATATAAGTTCTGCGAGTCTTGCCGCGTCTGTGCTCGCAGTAAACCCTCCAACCAGCGACCCTATGGTCTCCTGAGACCCCTACCTGTCCCCACACGTCCTTGGGACGCTATTGGCATCGACTTTGTAGGGCCACTGCCAAAATCTTCGGACCGCAATGCGTTTTACGATTCAATCACGGTCATTATCGACCTCTTAACGGCGATGGTACATCTGGTACCTAGCCGTACAACTTACGGCTCCGTCGACATCGCCGAGTTGATTTTTGCGGAAGTTTACAAACATCACGGCCTGCCTAGACGAATTGTAAGCGACCGAGATCCTTTGTTTACCGCTCGATTTTGGCAGAGACTGCATGAACTAATAGGCACGAAATTGAACATGTCCAGTGCGTACCATCCGCAAACTGACGGTTCTACCGAACGCGCCAACCGGACGATTACCCAGATGATTCGCCAATGTGTTAGTGAAAATCAGAAGGACTGGGTACGACGCTTGCCGGCCATCGAATTCGCTATTAACTCAGCGCGTACAGATTCTACAGGATACGCCCCATTCTTTTTAAACACAGGACGAATGCCAAGACCCTTCCTATGGGATGCGCCATCCTCAGCCGAATCCAAGGGTGTCCGCGAATTCTCGGAGAACCTTCGCGAGGCTATAATTACAGCTCACGATGCCGTCTTAGCTTCTCGCACGAAGCAAATTCGAGACGCCAATCGAAAACGACAGCCATCTCCATTCCGCGCAAGCGATCTGGTATATGTGTCGACGAAGAATATTTCTTTCCCTCAAGGGTTAGCGCGTAAACTGATCCCCAAATACATGGGCCCATATCGCATTTTACGTGACTTCGGAAATGATTCGTTCCAGGTTGACTTACCACTTCACTTAATTGCTCGAGGAATTCATCCTACATTCCATGCTTCATTATTACGAATACATGTACCTAACGACGATCGATTGTTCCCTGGACGATCATTCGAACACATTGTGTCCTCCACTACAGCTAATGCTAGAGAATGGAATGTGAAAGAAATTCTAAGCCATTCTAACGCTGGACAGCACGCCTTGTTTGAAATTCTGTGGCATACTGGTGACAAGACCTGGTTACCTTACCATAAGATCAGTCATCTTGAGGCGTTACGACGATATTTCGAATCAGCTGGAATTTCAAAGATTGAGGAGCTCCCTAGGGGTTCAGGGACTCCTCTTAACGACCCACAGATAATGCTTGGTTGCATAAATCCTGTCGGCCTTAAGGATGATGGCTATTTAAGCTATAGGGAAATAGAATTGGAGAACAAACCTATTCACTCTAATAATCTACTTCCTTCTAATCATCCTCCTATCACATCCATGGCAGCAGTTGAACTTGGAAAGTTACACCCAGTTCACACAGCACTCTCTCGCAATTCTGACGGCGTGTACTCGCTCAAGGATTTGGACGCATGCGTGACTACTGCCATCTATAGCCGTGACGAGCTTATCAGCTTTGTCTCCGCTAACCATCGCATTATTCAAGGAGATCTCACCGACCCCCTGTCTCTCCCTCCTCGCTACATTGTGTTTGCGACCCTGTACAATAAACAGTTCCACGTCAGAACCAAGTTTAACGTACCCCATGGGCATGCCTTCCCGACTCGCATCGCGGGACCCGGACTCAGATTTCTGGGACTTGTTGCGGCGAGACCCACTATACCACATAGAAATCCCAGGGACCGTTACCAATCCCACACCCCGTATAATCGGCGTGCGGCGGTCCCGCCTAATCGTTTGGGCCAGTCTAGACCTATGGTGGGCCAGAGTTCTGGCGGACCTCGACGGTCGGAGGCCGGAGAATTCGTGTTAACAGCAGAAAGGCACGATGTCGTAACCAACCTCCTGCTCGATATGGTAATGAGTAGTGGTGTTCCCGCCGCTCCTTCCCTCCCTGTGCGCGAATCTTCTGCCGTCCGTCGCGGCGGTGCTTCCCTTCGCCCAGCTACGCAGAAACATGAGAAGCATCACAGACCCACTCCGTACACTCGCTCTAAGAAAATTCGTCCCACCATTATTCCTACCAAGCCAAGTCGCAGCGCCAGTTCATCCCCAATCAATCAGAAGATCTCGGATCTTCCGACATCAGATGACATTCCCAACACGGACAAGCCACGCGAAACTGTTCCTATCGACACTTGTCCCTCGCCATCCGATTCTAATATCGAGCTCGTCAATACACCATCTTCGGTCTCATCTGAGCTTACGACCATCAGCGAAGATGTTGACATGAACGTTGAGAATGACAAAGCCAGTGATTCCCCTCTCTCCAAGGTTCCCACTGTGGAACTTGCGGACCTTTCCATCTCCCAGGGCTCCGCTATTGCCGAGAGCGCCAAGTGAATCTGTTCCACAGATCCAGGAGGGCGTATGTAACAGAAATATACCCGATACGGTAAAGCCACGTCTAGCGCTGGTTAGTCACACTCCTTTATAGCTACACTCCTTAGTATATTTACTATCATTAGTCTAACCTTAGTCACTCCTTTATTTAGCTTATATACTCTGACAGAGTCAATGGTAGTCTACTATATAGTTACGAGCCCTATGTACATTGTAGGGCAGCGTTGCACAATCAGGACGACTTACCCCTGTCATTCCCCTGTGCGACCTCGTGTGACGCGACACTTCCCTTACCGGTTGTCTCTCGCCACACCCGCGTCCGTCGACAGCTGGACGCACTATTTCCATGAACGCAAACACACAGATTACGCGCCATGTACGCCTACGCGCCCATCACGCGCCCATACTCCGCCACGCCACCTCCACCCAGCACCAATGCCCCCACGCACCACACCACACCGACCCGTGGCACGGTACCCAGCATGCGGCCGCCGTGCTCCACAGGCTGACGGTCTGACGGTCCACCCACGACACGACGCGGCGCGACCCTCCACTTCTTAGGTACTTGCCGGCCTTCGGTACGGAGCCGCCATTGGTGCGTGCACATGTACGGCACGATGTCAGAGGTTGGGGAAGCAGGGGGGCGGGGGGGAGGGTTGGGAACGGGGAAAGGGTTGGGAACGGGAAATGGAGCTCTCAGCGGAGGCGTAAGTCGGGACGTACGCGTACGGGGAACTGGTGTAAATGCGCGTCCAACCGGGGCCGCGCCTTGGCCTCGAGAGCGGGATGGGTGTGTGGAACAGTGTAACTGTGTAGGCGCACGGCGCAAGCGCGAGTGCCAGCGCGGGAAGCCGCTTCAATGAGGGACGTGCGTGCATGCATCATGCAATTCAAGTTAGAGTCGAGTTCGAATTTGCAGTTCAGGTCGACGCGCGGCGCGCGGTGTCGGTGTTTTGGCTTTTGGCGTTGGCTTTTGGCGTTGGCGTTAGCGTTGGCGTTGGCGTTGCAATTTTGGCATTTTGGCGTTTTGGCGTGTATTGCACATGGCTCGGATAAATGTGCGGTTGGGGATATCGGGCGCCGTTAGACGTGTATATGAAGTGCGTGTATTCGTTGTGGTGCGCGGTGCGCGGTGCGTACGTGTAGGTAGCGAGTCGCGAGTCGTGAGTCGTGGGCGTACGGGTAGAGTGGCACGTAGGCGTAGGCGCAGGCGAGGATGCGTTATGCGTTATGTGATGTGTGATTTGTGTGTATATAATGTGTAATATATAATGTGTAATGTTCAATGCACGATGCACGATGTACTCTGACATGGACACCTTACAGTGTCCGCGTCGAAACGCCGATAGTCATTTATAATTTGCTGTCACACCTGGGTGTGCATGCACAGCTCCACGCCTGCTGCCTTCATACGTACCTCCCACGTACCACGGGCCGTGGTACGATATCCTCACCACAAGCGACGCTATCCCTATCCCTCCCGTAGCACGTGTATTGCGTATTGCGTATTGATAATTGCCAGTGATACAAACGCGGAGACGTGCACTCGATGTGCGGGTGATATACAGATACAGATGCCGATACACATACACATTATACATACACAGCGTTTGCCTATCCGCCTATCCGCCTATTTGCTTGCCTATTTGCTTATTTGCCTACGAATGCGAATACGTGGATGTGGATACGAATACGTGGCTGTGGATGGATACCCGGAGCCTGATTTTTATATCTATAAGTAATGAGTAATGACTAAGAGCACGAGAGCAGAAGAGCAGAAGAGCAGGATGATGCGGGGGATAATGATATAGCAAATACATGTACTGATACTTATACTAATTCTTAGACTGATACTGATACTGATACTGATACTAGGATGCTAGCGTGATAGGGTGCTATATATAATAGTCCGGGATGATGATGAGGAGGAGGAGGAGGATCATGGGGACGGTGTGATCGTGTTAGTGGTGCTGAGTCATAAGATAATTCTTCTTTTATGGTATTCATGCGTGTGGTTGTCGGTGTGCTCGGTGTTCTCGATGTTCTCGATGTTCTCAAGTGTGGTGTGTGTGTGGGGGGGGGTTCGGAGAATGTAGTGAGGAGAGGTGGAGAATGCAGAATGGGTAATAGGTAATGGGAGAAAGGGAGAAAAGGGGGAGAAAGGGAGAAAGGGAGGAGGGGGCGTTCAGCGCCGCCAGACGTCGATGGTGAGGCAGCCACCGGGGAGGAACTTTGCGTGGACGTGCGCCATGTCGGCGTCGTGCGGCGGGAATGCGACTTCCCACTCGTAGTGGCCTGTACGAAAAAGGGAGTCAGCAAACGCTCCACAGCGCACAGAATGCAAGTCGAAAGACGACACCGAAATCCACAGGGATAGCAAAAAAAGAAATTGAAAAGATAGGCAGGAAGAGGTGCTCACAATTGCGCTCGAGGTGCCACGCATCCGCGACGATGCCGAGCCTGTCGCCTCGCTTCGCGCACACGGTGACCATCTCGGGCTTCATCTCCGCGCCCATGCGCTGGGGGAACTGCACGCACAGCGTGTGCTTGGCGGGGGTGGAGTGGATCTGGAGGGGCGGGGCATCGGCGGGCGGCGGGGCGCGGTGGGCGCGCGCGAGGGGGGACGTCAGCGACGCGGGCGCGGGCGGGGAGGGCGCGCGGGAGGCGGGGGACGGGCCGTGCAGTGGCGGCGACGCGAAGGCGGGGTGCGACGAGGAGGGGGCGGTGTGGAAGGCCGTTATGGTCGGCGAGGGGGGCACGTAAGACGACCTGTTCGACGAGGAGCCCGAGGAGGACGCGGACGTCGAGCAGTAGTACGAGCCCGCGTACGAGGAGGCGTTGGAGGATATGGACGAGGAGGAGGACGACGAGGATGTGGAGGAGGAGGGGTGGTGCAGCGCGAAGGGCATGCGCAGGGCGAGGTGGTGCAGCATGTCGTTGGTTATTGGCGTCGGTGGTGACGTTGACGTTGACGGTGGTGGTGGTGGTGGTGACGTCGATGAGGATGAGGTGGATGTAGAAGAAGAGGCTGAGGAAGTGGATAGCGTACGTTCTGCTGCCGTCGACGGCTGGACCTGCTGCTTATATTGGAACTCCCGCGCCGGCGTCGTGTTCGCACTCGTGCTAGTCGGCATTTTCATCAACTCTTCCGCTATGATGCTTCCTCTTCCGGTGTGGTGCTTCCGCTGGTCAATTGACGGTGGTGTTTTGCGGCGAAGGTGAAACTTGGAGCAAGTGCGTGTGTGTGTCGAGGAAGAGAGAAGGGAAGGCGAGGAAGGGAGAGTGACGATATAAAAGGGCTGTGGAGCCATGGCCTCGCCTCCGTCCACCTCCCCCTGCTCCACACCCCGTCCAACCAGAAGCCCAGGACGGCCCACGGCCGAACTCAGGCGAATCAACCATCAAATCCCTCACGCCGCACGATCAGACCAGCTCCCCTTCCCCTTCCCCGTCCCAATTCGTCATCCGTCATCCGGCATCATGCATCAACACGTGGGGGCGGCGAATCCGCGAATGGGCGAATGGTTCAGGCAATGGTTCTGTTCGGATGATCGAAGGCGAACTTGCTTGCATTCGGGTTCGGGTGATCGACTATGTGGGCTGCGTCTGGCTTGCGTCTGGGAACATCTGCCTGGCTTCATCTGGCTACGGAGCATCCCCCCTACAGCCTGCGGACCATGGGAGACGGTACACGGCGACGGGTGTATGTAAGGCTGTGCGCCTGTGAGTCAATAGTCAATAGGATTGCAATTGATAGCGTGGAGAGTGGGATTAGTATGTCGCGTGGAGACAGGCCTAGGAGGGACCGTGGACAAGGGAGAAGGGCAGTTCGGATTACGGATCCTGAACCGCGTCTCACTTTTTCCCCAACACCATACACCCTCACACATCCCAACACGGACGTACATCTGAAAATTGTGAAATCATAGATCACTCCACGCTTCCAATCCATCCAATTATATAATATAACCCGCCTAGACGTCTAACGCTCCAGCTCCCAGCTCCCAGCTCCCACAAAGCTCCCATGTTCGCATGTCAATGCCATCTTTGTTCCTTTGTCCATGTGCCACACGCATACCGCCGTACGCGTTGATCTCAAGTACTCGGCCGAGCTGAACACTGAAGCTTGAAGTATTGAACGTCATGAACGGGTTTCATTTTCATATTGTTTTATAATCCGGTTCTCCAATCGGCGCACAAACTCGGAATTCGGATTTGACTGGGAAGGCTGGGAAGGTTATGCCCGTGGGAAGGGGGGAACGGAGAACTCGGACGAGCATCCACAGAACATAGAACACGAGAAGAACACGAAGCGACGGGGACGTTCGAACTTCCCACCACCCACCAACGCAGAAACTCTGATAAGTCTGATAAGTCCGATAAGTCTGATAGCTTCGCCACCTGCCGCACACTGCTGGACTCTGATGCAGATGATTGGATATTGGATGCTGATGATTGGATGCTGATTGGATGATGGTTGGGGATAGACATGAAAGACAGCAGGCGATAAGCACAGCGGCTCCGGTTCGCTGAGTCGCTGAGTCGCTGAGTCGAACCTACTACCTAGATTTCCAGAAGCTAATCGTACGGGGTATGCGGACTGCCAATCGGGCCAATGACGCACGGCGAATAGGAATAGGAATAGGAATACGAATACGAATACGAATACGAATAGGGATAGAGTTGACCAATGAGTACTGAGTACTTGAATAATGATTATTGGGGCGACAATTGCAAGGTGTGTTAGTGTTAGTATGTCGGAAGGTGATGAATGAGATTGGTATTGGTATTGGTATTGATATTGGAGAGGGCGAGGTAAGGCACACAGATCGGGGGAGGCACAGCGGGGGGGAGGTGGGGAAAGGCACACAGCCAATCGGAGGAATGGTACACGGAATGGAAGAGGGGGGGAGGGCCAGGCCTGTGCAGACGCCGAAGCCGAGTCCCTGAGCCCCTGAGTCCCTGCTCCCCGTTCTCCTGTCCATATCCCCTATTGAATATCGACGATCGATGATCTCCTGTCCAAGCTAGGGACTGTAAACGCACGCACAACGCCATTCGTCTCGCGGCTGATGACACCGCTTCCGAGTCCGAGTCCGGGATAAGTCCGCGCATCGACATCGCATTTCATCGCATCGCATTGCGCAAAGCATGTACATATCCACTATCACTATCTCTATGCAGGCAGGGGATCACTTCGTACTAACTAGGCCGGGTGGGCATGTTGATGTGCAGGGTGGCCCGAAATTGGAATGCATTGCTCTGCTGTGCTCTGCTCCGCTGTGCTGTCTGTGCCTCTGCCGTGGAAGAGAGGAGCTTAAGGCGAGCCGGAGCCAGGAGGATTGGCGGGGTGGCAGGGACCAGGTCGGCTTCGGAGCACCGCTGTGCAGAGTAAGAGACTCTGGGCGATCAAGACTCTTCGCTGCCTCTACGTCGACACTGCCCAATCGCGAGTATCCCGTCGATCACTCGGTACTCGGTTCTTAGTACTCGGTACTCGGTTCTTGGTATTCGGCACTCAATCATCACCGCCTCCAGGTCCCGCCCTCCCCGTCACCGTCACCGTCCCCGCCTTGAAGTTGCTTTGGCAGTTCCTCGATGGTGAAGGAATATGGAAGATGGTGAAGGTATACCGTCGGCGTGCGTCACCGCCTCCAGGTCCCATTGCCAGGCTCACGCCTTCCAGCTTTCGAGCCTTCTGGCCTATCGAAGAGATAGGCTCGACTCGGGTGAGCTTAGGCCGGCGAGTAGCCGAACAAGAGCCTCTTGCGGTGCCGTGACCCCTTGGGATCAAGTATACCTTCATACCATCGGCCTGCGACACCGGTTTCGGGTCGCACCCCAATCCCTCAGCTTCTCCATTACCGGAGCTTGGAATCCACAGATCAGGCCGAGCTTGGGCTGGGTGGGTGGCGCTGTAACTGGCGTGCCTGTGGTCGGGAAGCAATGAGACTGGGCAGTGTCGTTGCCCTTCAGCGACTCTACGCTCACTTCCAGCGATCGCATACGGTTAGCTTCAACCTCGCTTGCGGGCCTCAGTAACGGGTCTGACCCGCCCCACCTACTGCTTCCCGCCGTAGATAACTAGATAAGTAGATAGGTGGGAGAGAGCTTGATTAGGGTTGGCCAGAACTCTGGATCCGTGGGGAGAATGCCATCTCTGGAGAATTCTCTGGAGAAAGCGCCCAAGCACGTGGTGCGTTGGCAACGTCCCACACGATTCAACAATCACACTGTACCAGACGACACTTGGCTTCGTCGCCCTCCTCGCCGCCCTGGCCTCTCCCTGTCGCCGCCCTGTCCCACCTTTCATCGGCCCTCGTCGATTACTTCCTAGTATTACTGCACTACCATTCTTCAGGCAGAACACCAGTAACGCGCCATCATGGTCCAGCGCTGTACTCTTTGGTCAGTTGGTAAGAAAACACAATGATCTCCTGAGACATGTACCAATCAAACACATTCTAGGCGGATATATACACTCAGGGATTGTAGCAACAGAGCAAATCACGCACCAGTATATGTGTATCTTTTTGCAGAAATAAAAGGCGGCTTGAGGTCCGAATATTGGTGCCCTGCCTCTCCCCGAGCACTCCTCTGATCCTCAGTCAATATTGAGATGAACAATCCTCGTCCCAGCCCGTTCTCACAGTGCACGAACACGGGATGCCAATCTCCCAATCTAGGACCGGTGTTACTCTGCCAGGGCAAAGGGGAGGACCCCCAGAATTGTGGGCATTGGTATCAAATGGTACGTGGACATTGTATTCAACCTATCCGTTGACTGACTTACAACAGTGCCGTTCATGTAACAATTTCTTATGGCACAACCCCAAGACACCGCTGGAACTTGTGCCCGACCATCTGTTGATGCGCCATGCTTCCAAGCAGTCTCTTGCTGACTTCCCACCCGGCCATCCTCTCAACCGTCTTGACTGCGCCCATCCCAACTGTCGAGGCAAAGACAACCGGCCACGCGTAGCCAATCGGGCATGCGATAGATTCCCCCAATTGTGTCAAACATGCTGTCGCGCGGAGGGTGGCTGTTCAAAGCACAAAACCGAGGAGTCCCAGCAATCGCGCGCTGCCGAAGCTGACAAAACTGCTTCTGCCAGCCCTGCACCCAGTGCTGCGAGCAGCGGTACTTCTCTGCCTGCTGAGCCTGTCTCCAAGTTTGCACGCCCGCTGACCACTGGGTTTGGCCAGGCCTTCGCCGTCACCTGTCAGAAGAAACTCGCAAGTAACCAGAAGGCCGAAAATGAGAAGAAGATTACGGAGACCATGGGCAACCTTGTTGTTGTCCTGTTGTGGCTCAAGGTCAGTCAGTCCACATGTTGATATTTGCTCCTACGCTCATCAGAACCCAGGCCAATAGTAAGCCGATTCGGCTCAACGTCGTTGTCCAACATGCCGGAACATTGGTCCTATCAGATCAACCTGCGATCATCGACAGACTCCACAACGTCACGCTAATCAGTGTTTTCAAAGCGCTACCGCGCCCAGAATGGATTGAACAAGATTTCAGTATTCCCATTGCTGTTCCTCGTATTCCTCGCATTCTCTGTCGTCTCCCTAGTCTTGAAAACACCGACTGCCTCGAGTTGGAAGAGGAGCTTGGGGTCCTCGGAATACAAAATCGGCATTTCAACATGCACACTATGCAGCCCGGAAGTGATGTCGCCCTTCCTTTACGACGTTCAGCATCTGTCGTCTCCCTTTTGGAATCGGGCGATCCTGTCTCTCATTTCACATCGACTACTTCAGGCTCATCGAAGCGTGCACGTTTAAGCACTCTTTCCCCACCTCGTTCCCCGCCCCCTGCTCCTTCGGACTTCAATATCAAACTACCATTTCCAAGGATGTACGCTTGTGAGATGATGTCTGGCTTCCGGGTCTTGAACGCCCTTGTGGCAGGAGGGTTTACACTGGGCGAGGCATTCTCTCAGGCATTTGCAAGCTCTGACTTCGTGTATAAAACGGTGACCAAACACAGGAAGATCTACGAGCGTGCTAGAAACGCGCATGTCCTTGAACTATACCGAGACATGGGTTGTACACCTGAAGGTAAATGGTGTAATGTTGTTCGTGATGTTACGAACATCTTGATATGTAAATCCATCAGTTAAAGTTCACATTCTGTCTGCTGATGATCCAAATATAGCTGATGAGAGCCGCCAGCCGTCTCTCACACCATCCGAACACCAGGCAACATCTGAGGCGGATGCTGATAGCATCACAGATGATTCCGGACCACCGCTCTCTCCTCCCCTTGAAGCTTCTGAAAAATCACCGACACCTTCTCTGAACGCCGATTACGGAGGATTTCTCACAGACTCTGTCATCTACCTAGTCACACATCAAAAATTCGAAATGCGGGGCGGCCAACTTACTGCAGCTTGGACCGCCGACATGGAAAACTTGAATCTCTACACCACCAGAACTCCAGCTGTCCATGGCTCGATCAAGCGGGTATCCATAGTATGTCTATCCCCTTGTCTCTCGCTATTCATGGCAGTGATAGTGATCCCTACACTAGGGATATATTCACGAGCAGGGAATGTATGCTATCAAGCGCATTTCTCTCCCTGGAGAATGGTGGACCCAGTGGACTAGCGCTGCGAATGCCATCTGGGTTGAAGCTTCGCGTGTTGCTCTTTGCTTCGATGCTGCTTGCGGCTTTCATCAGCTTGCGAAGAACAACAATACGGCACTTTACCGTAAGCTCACCGCATTGTGGTTCTTGCGTAAGCTAACCCAGTATACAGTGTTCCGTGTTTTGCCCACATCAATCTTTGTAATATGTGGACAATTTCAAATTGCGCAAGAATGGATTGAAGGCCAATCCAAGCGACTGTCCGCTGAGGACTTGATACTATGGCAACATACAATGGAGGCATTCTCGCATTACACATATCAAGCAAGTGGGGGTCTTTTACTTCATTCCGGCTTCCAATGTATGTTGCCTCGTCTTCCTAAAGCTGCATCTGATGTAGTCCCAAATAGATCATTCAGTCGAGAAGCCTGTTGAGACTTCGGTCAAGGGCAAGGCTGTAGAGGGTGCCACCATACGACAAGCTATCATTTTTGATTGTGCCACTCACATGTAAGTTCCCATACCATTGCTCACGCCCCTTGGCTGACTGTTGTCTACCCTCCTTGTAGATCAGGTAGACTGGGTCACGATAGCGCACTTCCAAATATTGGCCCATTTCTTCGTAGCGAGGGCCAGGCTGCCCTCGCCAATTTCGCAAACACTCACATTTGCAACGAAGTATGCAGATCACTCGGTCTGATTCCTGTCTAAGTTACCCCATCGTTCTGCAGCACCATCCACCAAAATGCCATGTCTTTGTGGCACCCAAAAGACCCAATAATGGTCATCCACTCTTCGACACCTTTTTGCTTACTGCCGTTATAACCTCATAAACACCACAATAAAAACTATTATTCTATACTTTTCATATTTACAATAAAAATGATGGTGCTGCTTAATTCAGAGGAGGCGAATCAACATGTACGGTAGAAAACAAGTCATCAAAAGGTACGTTCCATGGCATATGTCCTTTGCGCTCGAGTTCCTGGATTACATACCTATTACGACGCTTAATCATTTCATCCAAATAGAAATTATACCGAGTGACTTCCATGTTTCTGAGGATCGCCGTGTAGCCACCGAGCCAGACATTTGTTTGCTCACAGATCGAAGTATTGAACCGCCAATTTCCATTTGCATCCAAGAGCTCGGGAAAGGCGGCAGGATTACAGTGCTGTTGACAGAACGTATCGGTTTCCTTGTGCTTTGTTCGGAAATGGAAGACATCAACAGGCTGCGCAGTTCGCGCGAAATGAGTATCGTTATTGGCTTTCTGATGGGCCACGAGTTTGCAGTTGGAATCGTAGAATAGGTATTCCGGAGTTGAATTGGGGGTGGGAAAGGTTGCTCGAGCAGCAAGCTATAACAGCCATTAAAAGGGCGTCAAACTCATAGAAATTCACTTACGTTGACCGCAGAGATTGCCTCAGAACCGTAGAGCGTCGCGCGCGAAAGAATTACTCCACATGGCCGCATGAACAGCAACTCGGTGTGTGTGTAATTAGTACCAAAGCACGCCCGTAGCTTGCGTTTGGTATATCCAGGTGCAATTGGCTTTTCCTCGCAGCTCTCAATCACTCCATGTTCATCGGGCTCTGTCGCATCGCCATGCAGTGCAGTCGAGTCGTTAGGTACTACGACTCCAGTGGCACGCAGGAGCCGTGAGTGTAGTTGAGGCACCGAAACCCCCTTCGCAAAGTAGCGAGACTCTAATTGACGGTGAGTGGGATCTTCGCAAGTTCGAAAACGTCCGCAAATTGGGGCATCACAGTCATCGATCGCACATTTGAGGTTGCGTTTGCGATGATTCGGGCAAAAGCGATCGTTTCGGCTCACTAAAGGTGTCTTGCAATCATGAACACCACAACAAGGGTGGCCCATATTGTTTCCGTCGCATACGGCTGCCTGTATCTTGCCTGGATTGAAGAGTAATATATGTTAGTTGAAAGTTCGCAACAATCCAGAAACCAGGCAGCCTTACGCAGTTCGCCGTTCTCATCTTCAGAAATATGGCAACAGAGGTTGCACACGTGAGGATACGCGTCCTGTCCGACACCCTCCATGGTCCCATTCCGCTCCGAGAGGGCCGATTGAAGTCGATCCACTTGACTACTCTCGTTATGTGGCAACGATAGGATCCACCCATGTTCGGCCTTGTCAATAAGCAACGAGTATAAGAAAAACCCATTTAGAACATCCTCGGGTCGGATGGACAAGGAGAACTGCCAATTTGGATAATGGTAGCCATTACGATAGGGTACAGGAAACATCGCGAACGCGGCTTCATTATTCCTGATGTGAGGTTGAGGAGGAGCCAGTGCGTGGTTGTATATCCGAGCCCAATTGGTTGCCGAAATCCTAATTGTCCGTTGTATAAGCAAAGGCTGCAAAAAGTACCTCGAGGCGGCACGCACCAGCCAAACACCTGTCCTGCGACGAATAGCTCAAGAAGGGCATTCTCGATGAAGAAATGTTGCGCTACTTGTATTATGTCGGGGATCCCACCATAGTATGTGCGCTGAGACTTGTGGATGTGATAATCGGTGTGGTAGTGTGTTTGACATTCTGCAGATTAAGTGAGATGATACCAAGGAGAAAAGTGATGTATTCTACTTCGACAATACAAAGTAGTGACGTAGATAGGAAGTGGCCCATCGCGTACGGTAAATAAGCTTGCTTTGTAGGATCGTGGCTCAACGAGAGCGCGTTTGACTCCCTTGGTATGACTGGAACATTGAGGGGATAGGCAGACTTTTGTGGGTGGAAACAGATGGCGATAAGCTGGATCGAGGAGTAGTGGTTGGCGTGTAGGGATAATAAGCGGCTAAAGGTACTCACAAGTGCCCTTTTCCAGCGCGAATCGGTTATATTCATAGATCTCAGCCGAACTTGCTGGCGCGGATTCTCCCACCCAAATCTCATCGCGCAGAGCGTCCCATACAGCTGCTACCAAGCCTTCACTCCACTCCATCGCACTTGAAAGGGTCTCGAGGATGATATGTGGCAGTAGAACGGGGGCCAAATTGTTCGCGTGTTGGTGAATTGAAAGGTATGGCCGGGCAAAAGTGGCCAATCGTACGAAGCGGAGCACGGATGCGAGAGTGATGCGAGAATCGGATGGGAGTCGAGTAAAAGACGATGCCATATGCGCCAACTGTAGCCGTTTCGTTGCCCGTCGTCGTTGCAAGCGGCCGGGAGGACTCAGGCGTCGGGGCACACGGTGAGAGATCGGTTCAGATCTAAGTTTGTTCACATGAACGAGGTGCCAAGAGATCATGTGCTCACCAGGTCACGCCAATGGGTCACGAGGTTCTCTGGAGATTCCCTGGAGACGAAACTCCCCACGGATCGTGTGCCCTCGGGTTGGCGGGTCGGACCAAGGACAATCACAATGCTGCGGTATACCTCCCTGCCTTGCCAGGCAGATACGTCAGATCTAGACTATCGGGCTGAAGCACTGCGATACGTCGCGTTGGATATCGGATCCTGGAGAGGCAGGCGTTCGCTTGGACGTCTGCAGTCGGTCCGCTCCACTCGATGTCGGCTACATACAACGACGACAACGATGACGACGACAGACGTGTTAGATACCGGAAATTAACGTGCAGGTTTACCGGTGTGTTCCATCCAAGTTATGGATGCGTCGTTCGTGGTTCACGTTGGGAGTCGGTGCGCTCCATCGCAGAAACGTACGATGCGACGTTAAGTAGATACATAAATCAATGACCATTTAAATACCAAATTGTGGCAGATCTGCGATGTGTTCAGTTCATGTTCATTGAGCGTTAGTGCCCGCACATCGGTTCTTCCTTGGGTTGGGGCAGCGCCGAGACGAGCCGAGTGGTGCGGTGTGCAAGGAGCATTGTGTTGAGGTTGAGTGGCCCGGGATGCCCGATGGGAGCTAGCAGAGTCGAAGGCCGAGGACCAGACGATGGAAGTCGCGCATTCCTCTCATTATGAGAATGGGCGCGTTCATGTTCTAATGATTGAGCATTGAATCGAATCAAATCAATTGAATCACGGGTGGAGTAGAAGGAGTGAGCCAAGACTCAATTTCGAGCGAGCGCGCAGATGCAGCGTCTTCGAAACAGCAGAGCGTATGCGCAAAGCACGGCCAACGGGCAATACGGCGTGGTGCTGGCTCGTTTGGAGGTGGAGGGGGCGTGGTGGGTTGAAAGGTGCTGGTTGGATATTTTCTGGTGGGTCGTTCGCCGCACATAGTAATCAATAACGCGTATAATTAGGTGTGACGCTAGAAGTGAACCAATGAACGCACGAACAGAACGGATCCTCAGTGTGAATTGTTCGCTGGGAGTGGGAGTGGAAGTAGTGAATGCGGGAGTCCGACTCGATGGCGGCCTGGGTTCGGGAGTCGCACGGAGGGTGCCTTGTTGGGCGCCGACCGCGCACCTTCAAACACCCAAGCTTCAAGCTTCTGATTATGAGTAACGCGTACCGCAGAGCATGATGCGCACGATAGGGCCTCGCTCCGACGCGCATCCACCGATATTATTCGAGATCAACGAAGATATCACGCCTCCCCTCCATCAGGGACGCATTGGCTCCCACTCTCCACCTTCTTTGCATCTCCCTTGCAGGCATACCAAGCCCCAATCGTCTCCTACACCCTGAGCATAGGGCCAGACCGTTCGAACCGTTACTAAACCATGGTGGCCGTGGTGCACGGCATGGTGCCGGGTGGTGCAAGCGAAAGAGCGTTGAAGGGGTGTGGATACTCTGTGATGCTCGGCATGCGGGAGAAGTGATAATACGTAAACCGACGGACACTGCACGGTAATAATGAGAGGAAGGAGAAATGGCGGTGGATTTGGTGGCGGCCTAGAGTGGACACAGCGTGCAGGATAACATATTGTTGCTAACATTACATATCCAATATGTGGAGTAAATGTGCAATAATCCTTCAATATAGAGTCGTGTAATATGTGATAAATATTTACTCACAATGAGAGGTTTAAGTCAGTTGAGGATAATACTGCCGTTGCTATCTCATACTCATTACATATTGGTCACACTCGAGATAACTGGGTATGACATGCTTAACTGAGATATTCTTCAGATAGCAATCAAAATAATACCGCAGATAATATCTGATCCTGCACCCAGTGGGAGTGCGTGTCGGGAGAATGGAAGTGGACGATGGCAAGTTCGATGGCGGGCCCACGTCGGGCGTTGGCAATCCAGATCCAGAAAATCTATTAATTAGTGTTCGACCTCCAGCTTCCAATGCGACTGTGAAATGAGAAGTTGAAGGCATGGCGGGTCTCTGTTGTGCAAGAAGACCCAACGAGACTGGAGCCGACGCACCATTGCACGATGTGCGAGCAAGCCGGGCGTTCCTTCTCGCTAGCTTCTACGGCGTTCTACCTTGTTCTACGTCGGATCGGCATTGAGTCATATATTGGAGCTCGTGGAGCGCATGTCTGATGGCCGGTGGCGGGCTGGTCCACCGTAAAGCCCCAAGGCTTCTAGTGGGAATTCATGAATTAAGGTAGATCTTCATTAATACTCTCAACCGGCTCGTCCGTCGCAGATGCAGTGGAGCGTCGAGCAAGCGTCGGACGTAGAGATGCGTGTTCCGTAATTTCCGTTTACAAGGGTCGTTCGTGGGCTCAGCTCGCGTTTCTAGTACAATTGGAGCGGAGTGGCCACTGTCCGTATGACGCGAGCAGGCGTCGGGCGCTATTCCATGCGAATCTATTGAGTTCATCGTTGATGTTCACCCGGCAAACAGTGCTCGCGGGTACTTGATATAGAGATGGTAGAAAGACCCAAGTACGATAGAAGCATAAGGGGGCTTCCCTGAGGTTCCCGTGTGCGAGAGCGCGCAGGCACGGCATCATGGTACGGCATGTTAGTTCTGTAATAAGAGGAGTCGGGATAAGAAAATAGAACAAGAATGGCTGATGGCACGCGCACCTGTCATGGGCACATATCCATGCTAGCGGTCGAGGCTACTTTATAATTTGAGTTGTACGCAGACGGTGGCCTCCAGTCTTTTCTCGAGGTGATTATGGCGTGTCAGAATCCAGAAAGTGCGAGACGAATAGTCTCATATCTCGTGGCCATAGGCAGACACGATACGAGGCGGAGAACGTTTCAGATATGTAGTCCCGCGTAAAACTTGGGGGACAATGAACAGGGAGAAGGGGAGGACAAGATGGAGCTTCTCGAGACTGCACGTGATTCCCCTTTGTTTCGCGTTCCCCTATCCCTCTCCCCTTGGGCCGTGTCCGTGACTCCTCTTCGATGTTCAAGGTTCGACAGCGTGTGTATTTGCGATGAATTCATAGTTGCAAGCGGCGCATATCATCCAAAAAAAACATCTATCGTGATAGCCACAATGTTCGGTTGAAAGACTAAAATAAACCGCACGAGATACTGACTGAATGGGGACCATTTAGTCGAGGTGCGTTCCATTCTCCGTCTGTTTCGTTACGTTCAGGTTATATATGAGTCTATCGTACTGTATACAGTGTCAAAGAGATGGGCAGTCGATCAGAGACAAGCGAACGACACACAGATTGCATGTTGCGCCGCACACCATTCACCACAGCCTCTTTTACCTCGCCGCCGAGATCAATGTAAGGAGCGTATGCGTTTGGTGGGGACGCAAAGGCGGGTGTTGCGTTGATTTTGTTGTTCACTGAACGACCCATGGTCATTTATTGCGACGCCCAGAAGTACTCGAGGCTGCATAATAGAATACCTGAGTGGTCGCTGGTTGTTCGCGTCCGTCTAGCCCCGACCCTGAAGTAAAACTGACATGTTGTAGGATAAACTATAGTAGGGTTTGAATGACAATATGAAATCACCCTGGCGGTTGATTGGCACGAAGTCCCAACGATGAAGAGCCGTCTAGCAGGACGGCCCTAAGAGTCGAGGGTTGAGTGTTAAATACCGAAGGCTATGTATCCTTGAGGCCATACGCCGAGGTCGAAGAGGTACCTGACAAGGTGCATTAGAATTTGATGGGTATGCACCATATGCCGAGCAGTAGTGATTAGCTCTTGTGCCACTGACAGCGAATTAGAAGAACAATGGTGTATGGATGAATCTAAATCGATATTGGGCGGTCGTCACATGTTGCGACCGTCGAGAAAACATCCCCAGATGACCAGTTCTCTGATAGTGGGTACGGCGGCAAGGACTCGGACTCACCGAAGTACCCGTCACGGTGAAGTCGTCGTGAGTTTGCTGTCACCGGTTTCGGGAGCATATGTACATGTCACATCGACATTGTGGTTCTAGCTACTGCCAAGTATAACGCAATTGATTCAATCACCCTCCGCCATTGAGCGGGCGGGGGTTCATCATCGGTGACCATGCAGCAATCGTGATAGTTTACCGCCGATGTGAACCTGGAACCTAGAAGCTCGACGTACCGAGTCTGTCCCGAAGAATGTCAAAACAAGGCGAAGGTTGAAACGCTCGAGGTACTTCTCCTTGCCCCAGTAAATACGTAAATGGAGACCGGCCCAATGACAAGGCCGGAATAATGCTTGGTATCGTTCTTGAGAATGACTGGTCTGGGAAACGAAGGACGATTCAATCAGCTTTACGAGATTTAGCATACACGTACCACCTCGGTCTCCCGAAGAAGGTGCAATGATCAGTCAATCTGAAGTACCGAACCTGATTCCTGGTTCCTAAAGAATCGTTGAAGAATTAGCGTCAAATGGGATTTATATAGATAAGAATGAGGCACTCCCAGCCGTACGACTCTCCCACCTTCCCTGGAATCGCCCAGTTGTATCGGTCTTCAACATGGAATCCCCTGCGACGCTGAACGGACATTTTCAACAAGAAAGCGCGGCTACCCTTGTAGACGCCAATGGTCGGACTTCAGAGCAAGCGCCCATTAAGGCTACGTCCGAAGTTGATTCACCGCCGTTGTCCCCAACCATCATCGTAGAAGGGGACCCGTCGGCAATTCCTCCAGAGCACCCGTATCGCACATTGGTACTTTGGCAAGTAGTCTCGTCCCTTGGCGTAGGCCAAAATTTTGACCCATCTACGCACTTCTCAGTTTCGACGGAACTGGCGATCAGTTCGATGAAGATGTGCGTACTCTCATACGCGGGAAATTTCGATCACACTAAACTGTTTGACATTATATAGAACTCGAATATCGTTCAACTTTTTACCCTGCTGAAGAAGGACAATAGGGATGTCCAGATGGTGTACTACCAGGTAACACTATTATCGATACCCGCAGAATTGCCTCTATATTCATATGTGTCTAGGCGGGGATTGGGACCTATACGTCTCCCAACATTGCGACTCCCCTCATGGCAAAGGTGTCCAAGGTGAATGAACGTGGCGATGATATCTTGCGAATTGTCGTTGACCGCGAGCATAGACTCTCGACGAAATGGTTGCCTGGAATTTAGATAGGCACGTCATGGGTAAGTTTTCCGTGGTATGCGACACCAAGTCCGTCACTGACGACGACTCATCAGACGGATACGAATTCTTGATGCAGAACTGTAGGTTCTATTCAGTCCAAGTGTTTGTTCAATACACTTTCCGACGTTTCAATTGTACAGATAAAGCGGGCGATCGCATCTGTATCTTTGGATTCTCTCGCGGTGCCTATACCGCCAGAGCACTAGCAGGCATGATTCACAAGGTATGTATAATTCTTTCCGAATTTTATTTTCGTGCTGACAAGTCCATCCGGGTGCTTAGGTGGGACTACTTCCTGCGTGCAATCATCAGCAGGTCCCGTTTGCATACAAAATGTTCAAACGGGCGGACGAGACGGGTTGGCAGCAGTCCAATGCCTTCAAGAAGGCCTTCTCAGTCGACGTGGATATCGAATTCATCGGCGTTTGGTAAGTTTCGTCGTTTTCAGTTGAAAGGAGAGATCCTTATCGCCTGACCGAATGAATCAGGGACACTGTGAATTCGGTGGGCTTGATCCCTCGAAGGCTAGCCAGTTCACTACCTCAAACACCGATTGTTCGCACGTTCCGGCACGCAGTCGCGTTGGATGAGCGCCGAGCCAAATTCAAGCCGAACCTCTGGAATCGCCCAAACCCCAAGGAACAGACGCTCAGCGCGTCTGACCGCAACCGCAAGGCGCACAAAAAGCATGCTAACTCTACAACCCCGCGCCTGAAAGCCCTTGAAAGGAAATATACGAAGGACCATAGTAGACAAACTGACGTGGAGGAGGTACGTATTGGATTACCTCGCCCAACATCGTGATAGAGATAACAAGGACTTTCTATGCTAGGTGTGGTTCTCTGGTTGTCATTGTGGTGAGTCGCTTTCCTCGACGTCGCATCCCTCTCTTGACAAGTGTGTACAGACGTCGGTGGCGGGTCGGTTCCTAACGACACGCAGCACTCTCTTGCGCGGATTCCTTTGCGCTGGATGATTCGCGAGTGCTTCAAGACCCACACCGGGATCATGTTCGACTGCGAAGGCCTCCAGGCCCTCGGCCTTGATCCTGGTGCATTGTATCCGGAAGTCCTTCCCCGCCCTCCGATGGCGCCTCCCACTGGCACTTTACGCATCCAGGACATCCCTAAACCAATCTCTGGGACACCCGATGAAGCTCATCTGCCTAACTTCGCCGATGTTGGCGGCTACTCGTCTGCTCTCTATAAATCCGAGGAAGACCATGATGTGCTCGACCTGCTGTCCCCCGTGTACGACCAGCTGTCTCTTGCCCCGTACTGGTGGCTACTCGAAATTTTGCCCATGAAGCAGCGATACCAGAAGGGGGATAATTCGTGGGGGTCGTATGTAGGCTTCAACTTGGGCGGTGGGAGGTTCATTCCGAAGCAAAAGAAGCGCGGTGTCAAGATACACCGAAGTGTGAAGATGAGAATGGAGGCGTTGCATTCGAACGGTACCAAGTATGTCCCGCGAGCGTCATTCGAGAAGGCACTAGGAGCTGGAACGGTTCAGTGGGTAGACTAGTTCTTTGATTCAGACGCCGTATCATAGCTATGCATGTGCTGTTGCTTATAATATGCTTATAGTCCACGCCGACTCCGCAATCCCAGTATTATATAGATCCCGATATCTATTATCTACATTAGTGGTTTAACTGTCAGGTAGGCATACTGATAAACGACAGTATTCACAGAGTAGCCTGTACGCAGTGGTGGCGGTGAGAAACATAGATGGAAGCTTAATAAAGGAATTGTATTCCCCAATGCAGCACGTAGCGGACCACTCGCGGAATGTACTAAGTCGAATCAGCGCGAATGTAGGCACGAACCACGACCCCTGGCTAGGCATAACACAGACCCGATCAATCACCATCTACTCGCGAGCCGGGGAGCGGGTGATGGGGAGAGAATTTGAAAGGAGACGGCGATAGTAGATCCCCTGTGAATTTCCAATCGGCGAAATTAGAGTTCACGCATAAGAATGACGCAGACATGTCTTTGCCAGGAAGACAGTTCCATGCAAATGGCATCCGGCAGGTGGAGTCAGCCGGTGGCTCCCACTCACGTCGACGGTGAATTCGAAGAAGTTAGCCATGCGAGGAGAAACCTAGGGATTGGGAGGATCTTCCGAAGGTAGATCTAATTCTGTGTCTAATATATTTTACCTCGGTTCTGTTCCCCTGCTCTTTCGTGGTCAGTGCGATCGTCGAAGACGACGATTACAGTCAGGCGAAGTGTTTGAGGAGTAGTAACGTATGCAGTGGCCGTGTCATAGTGGCCGGCCGACGCGCGATGACCTTGCACGGGCTAGTTTACACAATCTGCAAGTTACATGCTAAGCCAGGGCCGTGGGGCGCGGGCGTGGTGTGGTGTCGGTGAGCGGCAGATGGTGGTAGGTTGGGGGTCATTCTTCCAATCAGCTCCAACGATAGGATGCTCGTTTCCCTTGACTTACCTGCCCGTTGAACGGAGGAGAAGACAGAGAAGACAAAGCTCACTGTATCAAAATAGGATCGTTATACACACTGGACGTGCAACTCCTAGCACCGGTGTTAGTCCGGTAGATATCAATTCCGCATACTAAACTCCTTCGATGCTCCAATAATACAATTTTTACAGAGACACTCACCTGGCATCAAGGTCGAAGTTCTGTAGCGAACATGTTGGGAGGTGAGATGGGAGGCGGTACTGGGTCCGGGAGGCGGCCTGGACCTCGCTTGAAAGTCGACCGTGACAAAGTGTCCACCGTCAGTAATATGTACCAACATATCGTGACTTAGAATCAACCCGGAAGCAGAAACAGAGGCGGAAAAGAAAAGACGACTGCAGATTCCCATAACAAGTACGTCGTATATCTACAGGAACTGTCGGATGAATGGGCGAACGCGGAACAAGGAGAGATCCCTGAACCCGAAAACCGTAAATGAATTGATGGTGGATGGCACGTGAGTCCCCTTTCCTTCTCCTTTCTCCTCCCCTTTCCCCTCTTCTCACTTTCTCTTGGAGTCCTGTCCTCCTAAGGTTTGCTTCGTCCATACTCATCAAACCTTTGTGACAAAGCGTGATGTTTTCAAAGAATTTCACATAACAATCCTGGTACTGTTCAAATCAAAAATCCAGAACTATGATAAATTATTGAATAGTGTTTTGGAATTTCTCATAGTTCTGAATTTCTAAGGAATTGCGGGTACACATTGTTATCTAATTGTTTTGTAGCCATTGAGAGATTATGATAACAAAGCAGGGCACCAAAATAGCGTGGAGTAACGCGATGTCACATCAAGCGAGGTTTGATGAGTATGGATGAAGCATATCTTATTGGATTCTGACAATCTAGGCGGTACAGGGGCTATAGGGGTACACGTGACTACTTTAGTATCATTTCGCGCGTTGTTTGCGCGCACGTATTATTTTCTTCATGCGTTTGCTGGAGTCCCAGTCAAACGCAATACAGTACTTGATTATTCAGATATCGCGCGACCCTCGTAAACTTATTTCAACACCTCCTTCTTTGACTGATATGCAGTGTATCATATACATCCAATTGCCAACACTCCCCTATCCAGCTTAAACATTCCGAGTGACACGATCTGCGCGACCTTCGCCGGACAACATAGAGTATCGTTGCGCGTACCTACCGGGACTGCCACCTCTCTGATAGCAGCATTTTTTATAGTAGAGTCAGCAGGCGCCGAAGATCAAGGGAGGAGATCAGAGGGACGTCTCCCAGGTAATTTCCAACGCGTTTTCATGAATTGCTGCATCATCTACTTCCACAGATAACTCGTGGCAGCTACGACGTGCCAAACGGCCAAAACTCATAGAACCTATGCTTGTCATTTCGGCCACGTACACGGGTAAGTATACTGGTATTTAGTATGGCGCGTAGTTCGCGGCATCATACAGACAAGTTGAGGAACAGAAACAAGCGAATAGACAACCAACAAGGATATATTCAGTCATGTATGTGAACTGAGATAACAAAATGCTCTATATATGATCTAGCTAAGGCGTAGCGCAAGTGTTCACGCATCGTACTAAGGAAAGATCTAAGTATCAAGAGTGGAACGCGAACAGGAAAAGACTCACGACGACGTGCAGAGAGCTTGGCCATGGACCGGTCGTGCCATCACGATTGATATAGATGGTGTTCTCTGTCTCGCGGATGGTATCTTGGTACTTGGGAAGAACGCCGGCATCCCCAGGCGCACGGCGCAGGTTCCTCAAAGCAAAGATCGGCTTGATCATCTCCGCAATAACGACCTGTGTATACGTCGTCCCAGGACACATGTGGAACCCAGTTCCGTTCAAGTTGTACGATGCCTTGGGCCGGCGCGGGTCGATGGCATGTGGGTTAGGAAAGTCCTCCGGCTACAGGGAGATATAAGACATGAGAATAAGGAAAGAGTGTACAGCATAGTGGATAATGGACAGGGTGGAGAAAGCGTACATTGAGGTGGGCGGTCCTGAAGCTGCCCCAGATGCGATCACCAGCCTTGACCTTGATCGGGGGGAGATTGCCGCCTTGCGGGATGGTCGCGTCGACAGCAACATCACGCCAGATACCTGGGACCGGCGGGTTTAATCCTAATGATGTCGTTAATCGCGTGATGAAGGGACACAAATGAAGAGGCGATAGTTACTCAGTGCCTCTCGGACGTAGCCTTGCAGCAGCTCGGTGCTCTGCACGTCGTCCTTCTTGACTAGACGGATGATCTCTGCGCGTTCCTTTGCGCGCGCGTCGTCGAGGTAGAAGTCGACGGTATGTACGGCACCTGGTATGTCCAGATTTAGTTGGTTGTGGAAAGAAAGGGGTTCGAGGGAGGGTACCTTGGGCGATAGTTACAGAAGAGGCGATAGCTAGTCCAACGATATTTCCAATAAGCTCGTCCAATGGGCGGCCTGTGGAAGCGATGGTCGAGAGGAAGGGGTACCACGGCTTTTCGGTTTCCGGCCAAATGTACGAGCGAGCCCCAGCAATGAGTCTTCCTACCGCGTTCTGCGAACTTGGAGTGAGAAAGTAGGCTGCGTGTTCGCACGACGGAACCTACTGGGGCAGTTGAGGGCGCTACTTCCATAATGGCTTTGGTATTCAAGAGATTGAGAATGACCCCTGCTCTGAAGGCTGCGTCATTCAAAGCAAATTTGGACTCGGGCTCATCGAATGAAAGGAAGGTAATTCTGGCAACGTCGTCAGGGAGCTATTCAACTGTTCGTGTCCGCAACTCACCGGAACTGTGAAAATACGAGGGTCAGATCTTGGTCGCAACGGAAGGAAGAATACACCCACTAGAGTAGCCAGCATTTCGTACATCTCTCGCTCCGTGTGAATACCTCGGGGATTCGCTTTCGTCTTCAGTTCTATACCAAGCTATGGCACGAGTGGCGTCAGACAGATACTAAGTGTGTCCAAGAAGACTCACAATCTTTTCAGAAACGAAATGAATGGCAGCATTGTTGAGGATGCCGTTCACGACATCCATGTATGTCCCTGGTACACCGTCGTAGCTGCATGTCCAAATGAGCCACATTAATGCAATGCTCGACGAGCGGCGCGCTTACTTCCATGAGCGCTCTTGTATGAGCTTCACAGTATCCGCGCGACACCAAGCGGCATATTGAGCGATGGAGTCCTGTGTAGGGAAAAGCGCATGCAGAACCTATCACTGGAGTGAGTGCGGTGGAGACCAGACAAACATCGACGGCGTACCATTGCTCTATCAGCATCATGCCGTTTGGCATCGTCGAACAAGAGCATAGCTATATTTCAATGAGTGGTAGATCTCTCAGCTCAAGTCAAAGTAGTACGCACATCCGTAACCTAGCTTTTCGTAGATTATCTTGAACCGCGTGGGATCGTTCCAGACGCCTTTGATCGCCGCGAAGGTTTTGAGGATGATGGGGACCGGCTGGGCAATGGGTCGGTCGAACGTGTATTTCTGTGCAATACCTTGTCTCGTAAGTGACTGCCGCATGTGTTCAGGCGTGAAGAACGGCCATAACGAGTACGTAGAATTCTAATGAGAGGGGTAAGACATCCATCCGGTATAGCGGACGGTTAAGTTACCCATGGGAAATGGCGAGGCATATGGCGCATCATGAGCTTCGACACTACGGCCTATGTTTAGCGGTGGTCGATGTAAAGCGTAGTTGACGTGACTCACTTAGGCCGCCGCCGCCGCCGTTGTCAAGGTGGCGTTGGCAATCGTGGAAACCCCAGGTCGTAAGATTGAATGCTACAACGGCGTCAGTATTGGCGAAGGGGTGCACGGCAACAACATCCTCTCACGAGTAAAGTCGGTGGTGTAGAACCTGTCGCCACGGACGAGCGCGATTGCATCGCCGAGGACAGCCCTCATTGTCTAGATCGAGGTCGGAGTGAAGTGAGTAAGTGGCCTGCAGGATAGTTCACATGTCATACCGTATACCCGCAGGCCTAACGAACAATGTACATCAGCATTGTGGTGGAAAATACAGAAATCAATCAATCTTACTAGACTCAAGCCATCCACAACTGGCATCGTCTGCTCTGCTTGAAGGCCGGGCTATATATACACATGGATGAAGACTCATTCATAGCGTGAAATTCAAAACTCTTACATAGAGTTCGAGGTAGTCAATATGACCATACAAGCGGCGAGCAGCATCCTGCGAGAGGTGTTCAGGCTCGGCATTATACACATTGGAGTAGACGTACGGCAACTTCTGGGTCGGGGTTCCATTCTTCGAAGGACTCGAATTCTGTGAACCCATTTTGTCTCAGCGAATAGGAGTATTGTATAGGACAACCTACGTTTCAGGCCCAAGAACTTGCGGAACTCGTTCATCGTGCACACGCCCCACGAGCGCGCCTGCTCCATACCCATAATCTCAACTAACCTTAGAACGGGCGGCGTGTTACGAGCTCCGTATGACCCGGCTAGATCTGCGGTCGTAGAGTGTAGGATATTCGCTAGATCGTCGTCGGAAAACTTGCCGTCCTGACCGCGCTTCAGTCTACCCTCCATATGTGAGTACATCCAAACGTGTACACGAGAAGGGCCACTTACCCAGCGAAGGTGCGCTTGGAAGGATCAGCAGGTACGTTGTCGAAGATCTTGCCGAACGTACTAAGGTCTCTTAGAGACAGCTGCCGACAGATATTGAGCTACGTGCTAGAATAAAGCCTGGAGAACATACTTGATCGAAAGGCTTGCCTCCGAAAGCGCTGTTGAAGATCTCTTCTGTCCACTTCTCGTTGACTGGCGACGTTGTCCCGTGCCACTATACGCAGCGACCATCAGTCAGGAGTGCAAGTTGAAGCGACTATGGATAAATGACGGACTCTGTACAACATGTTGAACTCTACGCTGCAGTGGTTTCCACGACCCCTGTCAACGACGAGGCCGTCTCTATCAATGGGCTGTTAAACGTTCAAGCAGCATAAATGAGTCGTTGTAGGCAATCGGATACAACGGTACACACATCGAACGGATTCATGTTCCAATTGCAGTTCTCCGCAGAACCAAGGAAGGTTGCAGCATAGTCTCCGGTAATCATACCTGCAAGAAAACTTCGTTTATGACATAGTTCTCGCGTAGTCAATGAGATAACTCACTCATGAAATGACCGCCATTGATTAGGCGAGCCGTCTGGAAGATTTCCTCGTCTTGCAGAGCGCGAGCAGCAGGATCAGTGGGAGGAGGATCAGTCCACCTCTTGCGTTCGTTGATTTTCAGGATCTTGTCGGCGATGTACTAAAGGCCAGGGATGATTAAGAGGCAGAGTATATCACTATTGTCGCGTCACGTACGTTATGGTTTCGGCTGAAAAGGACGAGCAAGGCACTCGTGGCCGGTGGGAGGAAAATGAGTCGCTCCTCGTGGAACGTATCCGGGTACAGCAATCCACGTCCCTGATCTTTGTCTCGGACCTTGTCTTGGTCTGCTTGATCTTCATGAAAAGTCAATATGACGTGGCGTCCGTGATGGTAATCCACTCACTATCACCGTACACAGGACTAAGGTCGAGATAAGAGCTGGCGTTGTTGATGCTCACGTCCTTGCGGTCCGTACGGAACAAGGAGTGGGTGACGATAGACGCGAATGCGAGGATCATACTAGATAACCCACCAGGGTGGCTTTTCAACTATAGTCATGGTTCAGCATGTATGGCGCTAAATGAAAGTAAGCAAGATGCGTACTTCGCGCCTCCTCAAGAGAGTATCAAAAATGAGGCCTGGGTCTGGCAAGGAAGTTACAGGTAAGTTGCCTCGCCCCTGTGCACTACGAGCGTAGGGGCGCCCTGAGCGACCGTAATCAGGGTCTTGAAGGTTGTTGTTCGAGCCGTCCGCCTCTCTCCAAGCGTACTTATGACCAAGATGGGCAGCAGGCGGGTGCGGAACTGTGTTGTACAGTCCTCCAATGATTTTATCGCCGAGCTTCAAGGCAACTTCGGAGGCGGGATCAATGCGGGCCATGATACCAAGTGCGGCCTCGAACTAGGGAACAGCGTAAGTGAACGTATATGTATTGAACAGATTTTGGAACACACAAGACCCTTCCTGTCGTCGACTGCATGCGGATGGACCAAACTGTCGGTAATTCCCGCCTAATAGCTACATTAGCACAAAGTATCAAGGCCTGTTCAGGAGGCGCGCTCACCAACACTTTAGGGTCTGGCTTGAACTGTCCTTTGGACGCCAGTGTCTCAGCCTATGGACAGGACACCCTCAATAAGTGAGCACACGACCACGAATACTAACTTACACGATTGATGAAATTAGACGTCGTTGAGTGGCCTTCCTTTTGGTCGGCGGCATCCGAGGATGCTTGCCAGTCGTATAAACCATCTGGTGCATCAGGAGGAGCTCTTGCGGCGAGGTAGACAGCGTCTGCGCCGAGAGAAACGATCTTGGAAGCAGAGAGACTTGCCATGGCTGTTTAGTGGGGAATATTGTGACGAGTGTTGGGTTTGGCAAGTCCCCCGAAAGCTATTTATACCTTCGACTTAAACGACGAGCGTGGTTGTTTATATCCGATCCCGTAGCAACATCAACGAATGATATAGTTTGTTCGAAGTCCTCCCGGGCGATTCACGCCAAGCAGGAAGCTTGAGAAAAGGTAGACAAGACACCTCGTCTCAGGAGTGTATCGTATGCCGAACAACCACTTCTACGCTGAAGGGAAATTTGGAGAATCAGAATGATTCCATGAGCGGTGGTCCGCTCACCTTCCATAGTTCATTTGCTGCATGTGTTCAAAGCATACAACGACAGCTACGGTAGCAAGGAATACATAAATGAGGGTGAGCGTACACTACGAAGTAGGTGTTCGGTGTTCGAGATTAGCATGGTATCGTCGCTGAGCTAACTTACCCATACCTTGGGCCCGATTTGATTCTTGAGAACAGCGACTCATGGAGTTATTTGAGAAGAATCGACACTTCCAAGAGTTTGAGTGGACAGGCAGTCACCGGTTAACTTTCACCGCTTGGTACTTTTAAGCTTTAAGTACATACCACTGGCAACGGTGTTAGAATAGAATCCCGCCATAGGCCTGACCCCGAAGGGTGCTGTAAGGGTTGTACCCTTTCGTTCCGTGCAGTCCGGCTTCCCCTATCCCCTATCCACCCCTCTCCGACTCTTCGGACGCGCTCGCACATGACTCGGACGTCACGAACCCGTACCGGACACACGTGTTAACGGATCAGACACTGCGGATCAATGTTGCTTTCTCTTTTGTTCTCGGACTCTAATACTTGATCATACTAGTCCCATTATTTGTTCCTGGTACCTTTTCGCCTCGGACATTTCCGATGTTTTCTTAGCTACAAAAACCTACTGCACTCGTAGTTAGAAGAATAAGAATTGTTTCCCCCCCACATCGAGTCAGATTCTAAGCCGTCCGAACCTTTCTTCTCATCCGTTGTCAGAGTCTGCCGCTGTCCGAGTCCGAGCCCGAGTCCGATCCGAAGTTGCTTTCTCCTGCCGTCCTTGTCATTCTCCTGCCGTCCTCGTCGTACTATCCGAAGCCAAGTTGTCTGTCCGCGTCCAAGCGCGTCCGAAGCCATCCGAAGCCGTCCGAAGCGTCCGAAGTTTCTCAGTTGTTCGTTTCACTCTCGGACTCATCCTTATCATACTTTACTCACGCGGGTGTCGCACGGACTTGTCCTGCCGGAGGCGGACCCTCGCATTTTACTAGACTACTATACTAGTCTACGCGTACATTTACTACTACATTCTGGAGCCCACCGCGAGGGTTTAAAGTTCAAGACACCCCCCCCGTTCCACCGTCACCTAATCATCCTATTCCGTCATTGAATTCGAATCCCCTCCCGATCCTCTGCACGATATCTTTCCGGAAGGTCCGACGCAACGGGCTATCAACTACCTCTTCCGGAAGACATCCGAATATTTTCCGTTCAAAATAGTCCGCTCTTGGGTTCCCGATCCCAACACCGTCATTTGGCAGTTCGCACTTACCGGCCGCCCAGAATCCGAGCATCCGAACATCCTAGCACGCCCTAATCCTCCATCCCTCCGGCACAGTCTGTTCTATAATCCCGCCGCGGCTTACCACCGACCCACTCCGGAGTCAAACGACACTACGTCCGGAACACCCTCATCGCTCACCGAGTCGTCCGAAAATCTTCCGCCCACTTCTTCACCTTCCCCTATTCCTCCTCCTACAATGGCCACAACTATGCCCGTCCGCGGTCACCATACCGCTCCGAAATTCAACGGAAAGCCCGAAGGACTCCATCGCTTCTTCTCGGAAGTGGAGTACCTCGCTGCCCGTGCTCAGGTCGAAGGCCGGGATCTGATCCGAGCTACAATCGGATATCTCGACGACTCCGACTGGGAGATCTGGCGCAGCAGTGGCGATGCAGCCGACGGAGACGACTGGGATGCTTTCAAAACGTGCATCGGGAAGCTCTACCCCGGATCGGATAACGAACGACGGTGGCATCCGTCCGATCTTTCCACTATTGCGGCTCTCCAGTCCCAGACCCCGATGCTCACAAAGGATGATCTCGGAGTCTATCACCGAAAGTTCCTCGTTCCGGCCAATTGGCTTCTGTCCAAAAATAGCGTCTCCACCCAGGACGTCGGACGAGACTATCTTGCAGGATTCGATCCGATCACCCGTCAGAAAATCAAGGACAGATTGGCGATGGTCCACATGCAGCATCATCCGGACGATCCTTACACGATCACGGAGATCTATACGGAAGCGAACTTTATTCTCGGAACGTCGACTCCGGCGACTCTCACAACGTCTTCGACATCTCCGACAGTGAGTCCGACGGCTCCGGTTACGGTCAAAACCGAATCCGCTGACATCCGTGCCCTGCAAGCTATGATGCAGCAGTTCATGACCATTCAGCAAACGCATCCGCAGTATCCTCCTCCTCCTCCGCAATATCCGTATAATCCGAACTCATTCTATCCGTATCCCCCGCCTCCGACCGCTCAAGCATACGCTTATCAACCCGTCCCGCCCCAACAAAACTATCAGTATCCGCCTCAGCCACCCCCATCTTCCCAGAATCAGCAATCACGTCCTCCTCCGCCTCCTGCACCACAAGGGACTGATCCGAGACCTCCCCGGAAGTGTCACTTCTGTCATTCCGTCTACCACACGATGGGCTCGTGTCCGGATGCGGCCCGATACGAACGGAGCGGGTGGATCGGTCGGAACGAAGAAGGCCGATGGATGGTGCTCCCGACCAGAGAGACTATCAATCGTTCCTTCCCCGGAGACTCGTTCAAAGAGCAGATCGACAACTGGATGAGGGCCAACAATAGACCTCAGGATCGCGACGCCCCTCCTCACCCGATCGTCACTCCCGCAGCCACAAGTTCCGGAGTAGCGTCCGCGAATATGGTCGAGGTTAGCACCTACCACTATACGGAGGCCGACGAGTCCGAGTCTCGGGCGTTCATCGAAGAGCTTCCGAGCCCGTTTGATCTGGAGGAAGAAGAGAAAGAGGAGATCTTCTTGCAGGTTCTCATGCAGCGGATGCCCGACGTAGCGAAAAAGTACGCTTCATCTCAGAAGAAGAAGGATGTCCGTTTCTCCGAACCGGTCGAAACGACTCCGAGCGCTCCGGCAAAGGCTCCGTCCGAACCAACCCTTCCGCCTTCGATTCCGGTCCCCTTCCCTTCCACATCGGCCCGTTCTCAGCTAGCTGAAGCCATCGAGACCGGTCGCACGACGTACCGTCCGAACTATCGGGTCCAGTCGAACATCGAGAATCCGAAGGTGGCCTCGGATGTCCTGGAACGCGCCCTTAACACCACGCTCACTATCACGCAACGGGAACTTTTCGCACTCTCGTTTGATGCTCGGAAAGGACTTCGGGATCTTATTTCGTCGAAACGGGTCTCTACGGAGACTAACTACGCGTCCGTCAACATGGCAGCGTGCTACGACGACCCCGAAGACGTCGTGGAGGTTCTGATGTCCGCCACCCGGGATCCAAACAAGGAATGCATTGTCGCAGCTCCGACCCAGTCACTCCGGATCATCCGGCCTATCTTCAACGATCGGTACGAGGTCGAATGCATCCTGGACACCGGATCGCAGATCATCGCCATGCGCCGCGACGTCTTCGACAATCTCGGGCTGCTCATCGACATCGACAAGTTCATCACCATGGAGTCCGCGAACCTATCGTCGAACCAGACCATCGGACTCGCGCACAATGTAAAGATGTCTCTCGGACCCGTCGATCTCTACGTCCAAGCTCAGATCGTGAACGATGCGCCTTATGAGGTACTCCTCGGACGCCCCTTCTTTTGTCTCACCTCCGCTGTCACCCGCGACTACCCCGACGGTCGTCAGGACTTGACCATACACGATCCGAACTCGAGCCGTCGTTTCCTCATTCCTACTTTCAAAAGGATCCACCGTTCCCGAGAGCCTAAGGAGCATTTTTAGATACCGTCGAGGAACCCCTGCGGCGAGACGAGTCTTTTATACCCCCGTTCTATTGCTCTCTTATGATATCATTGCCCGATTCCGCTCCTTCTTCAGTTCCGATCCGCTGCATTACCTATCCGAAAACACTTTTATATCATACATCCCCTTCCGTGTCCGATCCATCGCTTCCTCTTCTGTCTGTCCCCCCTTCCATGAACCGAAAAAGTACATATGATGCTCCGCGTGATTCCGGTCTCGACCCGGTTGCTCCGGTGTATACTTGTGTCCCACCGCCCGTACCTAATACTCATCATTCTTGCGCGTATGACGATTTGCCGGATGAGCGACGGATCTATTCAGGTCTTGTTGATATCATCGAAGATGGCATTACTCGGAGTGCTTCTTATTTTGATATTCCCCTTTCCACCACTACTTCCTACTCTACCTTTACATCCTGGTTTGTCCATAGCGACGCCGACGCTCCGCCCGCCTCATCCGATGATTCCGCTCCGACCCCGACCGCAGAAGTCTTCGCAACGACTGCCCGGATGCCAACATATGGAAAGAAGCCCTACCGGAAGGTCGCCAATCGCACAGTACCCGTCTCCACTACCCTTCCCGAACAGTATCGCATTGTCCGACGCGAACCTCCCGACATCTTAGCCGACCTTCTCCCGCTTCCTACTCAACCACCCGACTTCACTCCGGGACTCCGGTACACTCGGGAACGCGCTGACAAACAGGCCGTCGATCCGGACAACTGGCTTTCTCCCGAGGAAATCAAACTCGCGCACTGGTTCATCCGGACTGATGAGGACGCTTTCGCTTGGTCCGAGGATGAACGAGGCAAGTTCTCTGACGAATGGTTTGACCCTGTAGTGATGCCGACCATCGAGCACGTTCCCTGGGCACTCCGAAACATTCCCATTCCTCCGGGCATCTACGACGAGGTCGTCCGCGTCATCCGAGACAAGATCAAGTCCGGAGTCTACGAGGAGTCCAGTTCTTCT